GCGCTGTGATGACGTCAAAGGCGCGATTTTGTCGATCGCGCTTTTGTCGTCCGCACTTTTGACGGGTCATGAACAATAGATACAATCGCAAGGTAAACCACTCCAAACTCGACTGCAGAAAACACAACTTCAGCAGTAGAGTGGTCAACATCTGGAATGCTCCACCTGTCTCCATTGTTACATCCTCAAACCCCCTTAGCTTTAACTTTAAACTCTGCAATGGACCTCACACCATTCTTAAGAGGTCTGTAAGGGGGCGTGCATAAGCGCACCAGCGTGCCTACCGTCCCTGTCCTACTGTCCCCATTTATTTGTACTCCTATCCTGTGTTCATGTCCATGTTTATACTTATACCTGTTATCTCATACATGTTTGACAAATAAATAAATAAAAATAAATGCAAACAGAGGACTCATGCAGTGCTGTAAAATGTTTTATTTTTTTTGGTGTAGGAGGTGACCCTGAGCAATGTGCTGAAATTAGGCTCCTGCTTCTTGGCTGGTTGTCTGCCTTATCTCTACTTGCCTATCTCTGCCTACCTCAATAAAGCTCGATGGACCTGGGGAGACCAGACAACCTTGAAAGGATTTATGACCCATCTTCTCCGGGAAGAGTATGGCACATTCAATCTGGTAAATTGGAGTTCTCCTTTTAAGAAGAAAAAAAAAGTTTCTCTTAAATTACTAAACCTGCGGTGTGATATTGCATCTTTTCAACTCGCAGGCCAGGCTCTGAAAGGCAGAAGGGATTTCGAATCGTTGCCGTTTTTGTTTTTTGTCACTTGCGGTTTTGATAGTCCTTGCACCTGTTCCTTGGGATAGCTGTAATCACTTGGTGACTGGAGAAATCATTTAAATCCCCTCCAGCTGTTCAAGTCATGGCATTTTCATTTAACATGAAGGTTAATGCAACCCAGAGGCAGCCTGGAGTTCTCCTCTGGCAGAGGAACGTGAAGGCTGTATAGATCTGTATCGTAGCTTTCCTCCTACCCTAGAAATCCTCTCTGTATCCCATTGCCAACCCTCTTAGGTGGGCTGAGCTAAGACAAGGCAACTGGTCACCTACTACACTTCGTATTGAAAGGTGGACTTGAACTTCCAATAAACTCCAGTGGTTTATATTAAACTGCACTGGTCCCCTGTTTTTCTAGCTGTATAATTCATATTAGGTAGGTGCATCTTAACTGCTTTTATGTTTTGAAGTCGGTGGTGATATTTTAAACTTACTACAGTACATAATTGATGTGTAGCTTGTCCTTGAAGTGATCAGAGGAACTCAGGCGTTGGACAGGATTATGTTTGGTATTAGCATTTCCCAAAAGGGGTATTTTGTGTGTTAAGGCCAGTCTGATTGCAGCAGTCAAGCCAGCTTCGGGTCTATCTGGGCATGAATATTCAGTGGATTCTCAGTTTTTCTGACTTAGGACTTTTCGGTGAGTAAAAATGACAGCCTTTGGCCATGTGCAGCTGGCAGGGTTTATTCGCATGACAGCCAGAAAGTATTTCAGATAATTTCTGTTTGAACTGGGATGGCGCTTACAAACAGGAAATGATTCCATCAATTTCCCTGTCCCCTTGCTTGGTTTTACTGGTAGACATTGCAATCTTGTACAGCGTTGTTGTGGTTGCACAGGATTCATCAGTTCTCATTAACTCTTTGTGAACACATACTTGATCGGCATTAATGAAACCCAAGTAAAGAAGCAACTATTAACTGGGAATCTAGAACTCATTTGTCATTATATAGCTGTCCCATAATGATTGGCACATGTGATGTCAGGTCTTCAGGACTATAGGTATATGTTGGGTGAATGGGGAGGAACTTACAGGTGAAAAAATGTTGAAACTGTCCGGTCAGAACTGAGCATGTTCAGTATTGAGTGTCTGAAGATAAAGGGCCATTTAGTATTTATTAGGATTTATAGGCCGCCCTTCTCCCTGAGGGGACTCAGGGCGGCTTACAATCATTAGGGAGGGGG